GAAGGCCCTTTTCCGGTCCATATAATCGGTATATTGTGCTCACCTCTCGACCGTCTGCGTGAGCTTGATCCCAGAAGATTCCTGTTACCATCCTGCCAGCCTGATCAGAATAGAGAAAACGCAGCGACTTGAATAGACCACGGTCGGCATTCACGTTTTACTGAGCTATATTACTTGAAGGTGCTGGGTTCGAACCTCTGTGCCGTCGCCTGTTTGCAGAAAAGCAGGGCGTTGTCTCTGACTAATCTAACCATCGTTCCAGCATCTTCGCGTATCTAGGAGACCGGATGATAATATGAGTAGCTTTTATGACAATCCAGAGTTGAGGGGTCGAAAGGCGGTCATAGATGTTTAGCTGAAAGTCCTTTCAACCGCAGGATCCATGGCGCTGTGGGTAAAGCGCTATGTAACTAGAACAAGTACTCCGTCTGGTGAGCCTTCACGCTCCACCTAGCCTCTGGGTCTCATACACCCCTTAGGTGAGCGCGTGAGCAAACTAGCTACTAAAGCAGATTGTCGTGGTTGAATCTCGAAAGATCACCACAATCTGGGTCGGATCTACTTTTGCTGATGAGGGGTTCGAGCTCGTGTTGCGGGTTCGACTCCCGCTTCAGACCCTTTTAATTTCCTTTTCGGGAAATGGTCTTTCAACCGCCTTCCCTCACAGGATACCAGCGCCTCACAGTGAGATAGTTTGGAGCACTATGCGGTTAAATCACATTTAGCTTCACTTTGGGGGCATCGCTTGGGGCATGTTAGAGTTATTCTTATTGTAGAGTTTTGCAACACCCGCGAACCAGACCAAGAGTAACTCATCGCTCCCACTACAGATACAAGTAAGCTACATGATTAAGAATACACCAATTTCTACATAAGGGCTGGTGGTGTAGCGAGAAGAATCTGTGAGAACGGACACAAGCTCTCGTCGCGGGGAACAGGTGCCGAACTCGAGACCCGAGACCTAGGGTTGCAAAACACTCATTATAGGTCCAGATTTCACTGAGTTCTCCTCCGATATATCTCTTTAAACGCTTTGAAAGCGGCCCCGCCGTTGGCTACTTGAGAGAGACGAGGCTGAAGGGGGAGAGCTTGGTGCCTGAGCACGTGACAACATCGAGGGGCAAGTTTTCACTGTCGCCTCACTCGGCTCCTCGCCTTCGGAAAGATTATGGGAAAGAAAGTATCATTACTAAAAGCGCTGAAGAACCATCAAGCACGCTCATCAGCTAGCGACCGTGTCCAACAGGCTCAAAGAGAAGCCACAGTGAAACGGAAAGTCCCTGTACAAAAGCAACGACTTCTTGACAGTGAGGATAGAGCATGGAAAGGAAAGGGGAAAGAAGAGCCCCGACGCTACACCATTCCCTTTGAGAATGATGATAGGATCTTCCTCGTCGGGGAAGGTTCGTCCGCTCGATCCTGTCAGTCCGATGTACCGTTCTGACGTCGTACCTACACCAGGTAACTTCTCTTTCACTCTCTCGCTAGTCAAGATCCACAAAATTTCTTCATATAACATACTATCTACAACACTAGACTCTGAAGCGGAATGCTACGAGAAATACCCAGACGACGCATCCACCATTGTGGCGGAGCTGAGAAGTCTTGGTGTATGGGTGGTATTTGGAGTTGACGCGACGAAGTTGGAGAAGTGCAAGGAGGTTATGCAGGCGAAAGGAGGTTGGAATAAAGTCGTATTCAACTTTCCTCATGCCGGTGAGCTATTTGCTGTTGCCTCTTCCATCTTGTCGTCATCTCCCTCATCAATTGTTCTCAGGTGCCGGAATCACGGACCAAGACCGGAACATTCTCACAAACCAAAGACTATTGCTAGGCTTCCTTCGAAGCGTCGCCCTAGCTCTATCAAAGGGCGTCTTGCCAAAGGAGCTCTTGCCAAAGAAGCCTCGTACGGACTCGGACGATGAGAACGACGATACACCATCCACGTCGATATCAGCCGCGCAAGGAGACGATGGCATGGAAAGCGACGGGCCGGAGCTTAGTGACGAGGATGAATTCACTGGAGTCCCTCCTGCATCGGACCCTGCCGATGAGGCACCTGTAAACCCATTCCAATACCCTCCACCGCCGCGGCAAGGGATGATATTGGTCACGCTTCGCGACTGTGTTCCGTATACATTGTGGTCAGTACGTCTAACCCTTTTGTTGCACTATCTCTCAAGTACTTGCTCCTTTCTTAGGGACCTTCCACGCCTTGCCAAACGACCCCCACACGCGGTCAAAGGATTAGAGAGGAAAGGTCGCGAGCAGCCCGAGTACACGTTGGTCAAGTCGTACCGATTCTTCCCGGAAGCTTACCCGGGGTACGAGCACCGAAGGACGAGGGGAGGGGCTGGTACGGCTACGGATGAACGGGAAGAAGGAATGGGCGGGACCGGCGGAGTGTGCAAGACTTGGGAGTTTGTGCTTCGAACGGACGACGCGCGTACGATGCGAGAGAAAGCCGCCGCGGCAGCTGCAAAAGGCAAGGGAGGGAAGAAGAAGACCAAATCAAAGAAATAAAAAGGATTGCGTAAAGAATAATAACAAACAAGAGGTCCTCTACTCCTTGGTCGCTTCCTTCGCCTCCGAACCCTCCTCCAACCCCTTCTTCCACCCTTCCAACGTCAAGGCCAAACGCGCACCGGCGGCTGAGCTGAGAACTCCTGCAATCTTGGCACCAGGCGCGCCAACGAGGCCGATGATTTGAGCACGGAGTTCGTCCAACCTTGGCAGCCTCGCGACTTCTCGCAAGCGGTTGTTTGATAGGACCTTGCCATCAATGTATGCTCCCACAACCGACATCTTGGGCACGGCTGGCTCCTTCTCCTTGGGCTCGAAGTCGTCGGCGCTGCTCGTCGGTTTCTTGGGCTGAGCCGAAGCAGGGAGCGGAGGTGCCGCCTTGTCGACGATCCGGAGGACGGCAGACAGCAACGGTGGGTCGAGCGTCCCCCCGAGGACCAAAGCCGCGATAGGACCTTTGAGCATCTTGGAGAGCTTGTTCCCTTCCTTCTTGCCCGATGCCTTGCGTACAACGGGGACGAACAGACCCGGACGGATGATTTGGAACCGCGCAGTGAGGCGGTCTTCGGGAGCAGGGAGACCCTTGGCCGTCGCGAGCTTGTCACGCGCCGTCTGAGTTTTGTTCAGAGCGTTTGAAATTTCTCCGCGCAATTTGGTGAAAGCGGCCACCGAGAAGTTTTCATGGCTGATCAACACGATTGCTGGCGAACTCGTTGAAACTGGGGAAGTTTGAGCGGGATTTTCGGAAACTTGAGCGTTTGAACGACTTGTAGCATCAGATGCTGGTATCGGAGTTTGGCTGGTGATCAGCTGAGTATACTGAGAGTAAAGATGGGCTTTCCGCGCCGGGTACGGGTGATTTGGGTTGCGTCGAACGCGCTTGCGACGTTCGGATTCGTGAGGCACTGGTTTTGAGGATGAGATGAGTGATGGCGGTACTCTTGGCAGTCCCTTTTTTGAAAGCGGAGCTGCGGTAGCGTATGATCGCGCTGAAGGGCTAATGCAGCGAGAGGCCATGAAGGTCACAGTGGGTCGAAAATTTGGAATGAGAAAACGAACATTCTCACAACCCAAATAGTCGCACCCTGACAGGGTTCCTTGAACCCTCGTCCTGGCCTGTAAGTGCAATAGCGTCTAGGGCTTAGTAGTATGTATACGTGCATCGGAAGAGAGTGTGCTCCGAGTCTCTTCATCGGGCTCTATATTCCATCCTTCCCGGAGGGATCGAGCATTGACGCTTAGGAGTCTGTAAGGAAGATTTACGGGCTCAAGAGGTCCAAGCACTTCTGAAATTGGTGCATATTCTCAACGTCACTCTCCTTCTGCTTAACCTTCGTGTCCGTATCGTGTCCAAGGTTTTAGTCGTGTCGTGTCCACGAGAGGGACTGTAAGGGGGTCGTGTCAGCTGATGTAAGCAGAATTTAGGCCACGCGAGACCTTTGCGCGCCTTCGGTCCAAATTCCAACTCCACGTCGACAACCACCAGCCTTTTCTCGTTCTCTCATCTTCGCTCATCTTTTGCTTCGACCACCCATCAAGCTCTCTCTCCTTTACTATCTTTCTATCACACATCACCATTAAAAATGGTCAGAGCATCTTTGCTCATTCTCACTAGACTTGCCACTAACCTTTGGGCGATGATCAGGCCAACGCACAACTCGAAATGCGCCGCAGGAACAACGAGTTCTTGAAGAAGGTTCGCGAAAACAAGCCCACCGCCAACGCTGCTCAGAGTGACTTGTCACGGAATCCGTTGGCCAAGTGGATCGTCGGCTTGCTATGTTTCATCGTTATTGGTGGAGGTGCGTCGATCGCCGTGAGCTTGTCTACGAGGCGACGTTACTGACGTGCATCTTGTCTCGCAGTCTTCTTCGAGCTAGCTCGTTTCATCTTCCTCTAGATGGCGACCTATCGCCTTCTCAGATGTGAATCGTCTGTTCACGCCATTGTGCAGTGTATATTATCCTTTCTCTTGGCTTGAACCCTGTCCAAAAGCAACGCCTTTCTCTGCATTCTCATTTTTGCTTGAAGATCGGCTGATTGTCAAAGTGCACAATGGTTTCAGCACTCACTAATCAACTTTAACTATCCTCCGACTCTCAGAGGCTTCGACCCGCTGGTGACCAAAAGAAATCCATTAATAAAGCCAATAAACTGCTATCGCGTCGACCTCAACTCCTCTAGACGATGATCATTACACATGCAACGATTCCCAACATTCTGTCAGTGGAAACGGTATTCTAGATTGAGTCTGGCCGTTTGTCTCAACGATGCCAGAGAAGACAAGCTCGCTACAGCCCGCTGGTCATGGTCTGGAGGCTCGGATTCTGCCGCCGTGTGCTGCCGGATTGATAACCGTATCAGACAACCTGTCTACGTGGTGCGCTAGAGTGAATGATTTCGGATCAGATTGTAAGGTGAGGGGAATTCAAAGGCCCAACGTGGCTCAGCGGATCAAATTTCTTCCGCTTTACGACGCCTCCTTGGCTCAGTGGCTAGAGCGTGTCTTTCCTATTTAGGGATCAGGACGAGGTCGTGGGTTCGACCCCCGCAGGAGGTTTTTTACTCGTTTTGTTACAAGAAAATATGACTAAGGTTTCAAAATGAAATCTGACTAAGAATTTTCATGTCCTTCGTGCAGCAAGCTCGTAGGTCCTTCTCCCAGGAGCCGGACCTTTATAACCCGGAGGTAAGTGGGGGCGAACCCATTATACGCTATTATAATGTTAGACGCGCGATGCCGATTATTAGCTCTCTGGTCCATGGTCGAACCCGCTATATCATACGTTTTGTGTCTAAGACTGGGGTGTTGAACCCCCGAGCTTTACGTTCGCGAAAACGGCCGCGGGTTCGAGCCCCAAGAGATGGCCGCTTTACCCTTTGGCTAAGACAGACCGGTATATCTTGAAATGATTCATTCTTTTAAGTTGGACTAGTATCTCTCGCTCCGTTGTCGAGAGCGACGGCGTGGGGTTCATGCTAAAATTGCGCATCATATTCTGGCTGTCTTATGACCAGTCCATTACCGCACGGCTCGTGATGTATTCAAAGGTAATATGGGCCTACCGGCTATTCCGACGAATCATGAGCTTGTACTACTTTATATTGGGCCATCTTATTTAAAGCAAGGTCAAAACTCGCTTCTCTTCTTCGCTCTTCTTCGCCCACACTTGTGTTAATCCCGCGTTGGACAATTAAGTCACACTAAAGTGGATTGATGATTCACTGTACAGTACAACCCAAGGATTTACAGGGGGAGAGCCATTACAGTTTGCTAGCAGGTACTTTGGATGTGGAGCCAGAAGCCTAAGTGAATAACGGATCAGGCCTTCTATAAGCCAAAACAAGGAGGGCGTCTCATTAGACACCGACCTCTTGATAGAACAAGCACACCGGATCCTTAGGCAGATGAAGAATACTAGTCAGCCACAAACTCCTGAATGATGAGTGTAACTAACTCACCCCAGCACGACACTCGGCGCCAACCTTTTGCAGCTCCTTGAATGCTTCCGTCGAAGAGTGGCTGTCGAGAAGCCAAGACAGAAGTCAGTTGGCACTGTTACACAGACAAAGCCTTCATCTCAAGCGGGCCTAATGAATACTTACGGGCCTAAAGCGGCGGCGCTTTCGTACCTGATTCCCAACACAAGCATGTATCGATGAGCGTTCGATGTCTTCATACGAGATGAACTGGGTACGTACTCCTCAAAGATCAGGATTTCGTCTTGAAAACGAGCAACGCGGAAAGTGATTCCTGCTGGCTCAGCATCTGATTCAACGCTGGCCTTCACTTTGAGTAAAGCCTGCTCGAGCTCATCCGCTCGACCTTCTTTTGCTTTCATCTATTGTTATTCGCGAGCGGTCAAATAAAGTCACAGCTGACTCCCAATCATGGACTATGGCACTTACCCGTACGTGGACGATGATCTTACCGCTGACGGCTTCGGGGGATGCGGACATGACTTGACACTTGAGTAGGAGGTGAAGGGGCTCGAGAGACGGGGTGCCTCATCTTAGAGCCAGATAACGGGTCTCCTTTATAGGGCGGAGAAACACACAATGTGCACCCTGATGGTGGCAAAGAATTCGTGGGAGAATATTTTTTTCCAGAATGGAATAGACCCAAGACTGTCAGGAAAGCTAAGAAACTTCAAAGTCAGATCTGTGTAAACCGGAGAGCCCGGGAGGTACGAACTGAAAAGATTGTCAGCCGGTAATGAGAGACCGAACCATCCTCGGTAGATCGGCCCTTGCCCCGGAACTGCGGAGCGGAGACAATAGCCCTTTCGAACCGAATACCTTTATGTGCTATGTACGTATAGTATTTAAAACGCGCGTGTTCCGCGCTCAAGGAAACCGCTAGCACGGGGCTGTCCCTAATTGATTCTGAAAGATCGTGGCACTCGGTGTAGTATGGCAATCGGATCGTCAAGACAGATTGATACCGACTTCGTATGAGTATGAGTGCTTTTGTCTACGGAAGGGTGACCGTTGGTTGAACGAACGCTGTCTTAGAGAGCTCCTCCGGCATCGGAATCTCAAGTATTTCTGGCACGGTGTCACGTGGGCTTTTTTTCATTTTAGACTGACCCGTTGATTCTCACTCACCCCGATTCCCGGCTTTTCCCTTGATTTTCGCTCCCTCCAATAACCTCG